CTGTTGGAAAAATAAAAAATAAAAGAAGAAAGTATTTATATTCCATTACCAGTCAATTATCTGTTAGGGATGGAGGTTTTTCCTTTCACCTAGGTGGAATAATATAATTTATGTGGTGTAAAGAATGCTGTTTGTTTAATTCTATCATAAAATAGAATCAGCCCCTGAATCTGAGAGATAGTCATTTGTGATATATATATATATATATATATATATATATATATATATATATATTTTGAATTGTCAATGTGATTGTTAGTTGAAATTCTATGATATAATTTCTCCTTTATCTTGGATACATTAAGGTTTGAAAACAGGCATGTATTACCTACGATCACGTGCTGCAGCTGATGCGATCAAGTTTACTGTGGATACTTCTATGCTCAAAGTAATGGGTGGTGTTAATTTTTGCAACTTATACCATTTAATCAATTTTGTTTTATTGACACAAAATGTGTAAAATGTTTGGCTTGCAGGAAAAACCCAAGATTGCAGCTGATGATTTGGAGACGAAAATGTCACAGATGGTATGTTCTTTAAAGGACCGTGAAGAGTGCATGGCTTGTGGAAGTTGAGTGCTTGATATGTTGTTACTTTTGCTATAGATTTCTTTTCTGCATGTTGATAGGAAGTAAAATCTGTGATGGAGTTGGTGACTGATACTTTTGAAGGTGATAGGATATGGTTGTCAAAACTCTCACCGAATTTTACCATTTGAAGCCTAAATGGCTTTCGACTCCTTGTACAGTTATGATGCAGTACTCTATGTTGCTAATGTATATTGGTTTCCTCGTTTGTATTTGTACTTGGTTAATGAATACTGTTCTAACTGGTTGTCAGCTTAATCCTGGTTTGGTTGGATTAAAATCATTAAACCAGTCTTGTTGCTGTCTGTCACACTAAAATTATGACTTATTGTTTTTTTAATTTTATTTTATTTTATTTAACCGGAGTGACTGGGATGACATGAACTTTTAGGGTCCCTTAACAACTTGATTAATCCCGAAAACCGGGAGGGACGTCTCCCTACACCCTACCCGGATCGGTTAAGTCACCGCAGAAATAACGGAAGCTAGCCACAAAGAATATCCAGCGGGACTCGAACTCCAGACCTTGGGCTTGTTAAGTTTTAAAGTGCAGCGAATAAACCGATAGATTATATCCGAAGTGGATTATGACTTATGATGTTGCAACACTTTGGACACTGTTTTTGCTTTGTTTTTGAAAAAGACAGTTTAGTCCAGTGGTGTCTTGTAAAAGTTTCTGAGGATTATGTTCTTGAACTAGTACAAAATTTTTAAATGGACTTCATCAATTTTGCGAAAGGCAAAAATTGAATCAGTAGAAACCTTGATGTTAATGACTTCCACTAAAGGATGCATTATTAATTTCTCTTTCTATTTTCCCTTGTTGGCTGTGGCCCATAGATTTTACCACTTGTAAATCTGTAAATACCTTAAAAGTAAGTTTTAGTTTGAATATTTATTTCCAGAGCATGAAGAAAAGATAAATAGCCACTAAATTTAGAACTTAATTACGGAGAAGTGACCGGTGGAATTTATTCCTTAAATTATCCTTCACACATTAGACACTTTCATACTCATTTATCTCTCTCACACGCTCACAATGTTGTCTGTTTTTCCCCACAAGAGTCCGTCCCTTCCTTCTTTCGACGATCTCCGGCGAAGTCGAACCTCCTCGCTGTCTATCTTTTGGAGACCCCCCAAACCCACGAGAAAATTTTGGTTGCACCTATTGCACTGATGCCCATTCATTACCATGTTGTAATACAATACGCGCACGTGTATTACACGGACTGACGCAACCAAAATTTCCACTACCCTATTTTTTTCCCCAAGTCATGCCTGTCATTAAGGCTTCTTCCCTGATGTATTTAAGCCTATACTATTAGGATTGAGAGGACATAAAATTGAAAGGTGTTAAACTTTCAAAAGATTAGGAAACTTAGTATTTAAAATTAATATTTTTTGCATGGAAAATGCTAAACATGATGAAAGGTTTTTCATGATTATCATGAAAAATGTGACACTTTTTGCCACTTTTTTCCTTTTTTTATTTCCTTATTTGAACCAATGTTGAAGAGAGAGAGAGACTTATTTAGGAAACACATCTCTCTTTGTATGTCTGGGAGGAAGTGAATATGATACGCATATTCCATTTTGAAGAGTGTTTTTTTAATACAACAAAGGATTATTCCACCATGATCATAACCATCATTTTTTCTCTTTCAAAAATTGTTTACTTACCAAAATAAATAAATAATCATGCTTTTTAATTTTTTTTGATTAAAATCAATTGTAGTATATTATAAAAAAAAAAAACTTTCGTGATAATTGAAAAAACTTTCGTTCCACAAAATTATATTATAAAAAAAAAGTTTGTATTGAATCATTCCTTTGTCCACTTTTGAAATCGGACTGAGGATTTAATTTAAAGCAATTCACTATGTTTTGGAATATAGGAAAAGATGGAAATTTTATTTGTAAGAAAATAACCTAAAATCATGTTATTGTGGGGTTCGGATTCTAAAGATGATCATGTGTAAACTTTACCTTTGCATGAAAAGATGCCGTTAAATCTGTACCAAATCCTTAAATCTTGATTCTTTAACTTTGCACTGTTGACTCACTCAAAAAGTCCAAATTATCACTCATTGCTAATTTCCGGATCATATTATCATTACTTTGACCAAAAAAAAATTCTTAATGTTTTTTTTTTTTTTTTTCCAAATGAGAACCTGCATTTACCTTCTAAGGTTATCTACCATTTTAATTGCGAAGTTATAGATCTCTTTCCCCCAATTGTTCCGTTATTATTCAGTAGCCTTTATAGTTTTATATTTCTTGCCAGAATTTCAATAAAAAAATAATTAATTGAAATGAAATTTTGTTAAAATAATACATTTTTTCACTCATAAGATTATTTATTTGTTAAAACAATACACATTTTTCAATAGAAAATTCTTCATACAGGCTTAATTTAGGGTTGTTTGATATGCTTTTTGTTTTTGTCGAATACTGTAGTGGTGAACTGTTTGGTATTTTTTTTTTGGGGTTAATTACAACGATACCCTCCGAGGTTTGATGTATTGACAGTCATATACAACTTAGCTGTTTTTTGGACAAAGACACCTCCTGTGATAATTTTAATCCAAACAAGCCCTTAAAACATTTGAAAAGACGATATTGCCCTTCAATATTTAATTCATTTTTATTGTAAAATATTAGAACTCATGAAAAGTCAAATTTGCCCATATATATATATACACTATTGCCCATTTATATATATATATATATATATATATATAGATGGAAGGACAGAGAGGAAAATAGAGCAGCGGCATCGCCACCACTACCACCCACCATACCCGTCATCGCCACCACTACCACCATCACCCACCATCGCTGCAGATCAACATCGCGTATTGGTTCCAATCAAACCCTAAGAGCCATTCATCAATACCGACGGTGCTCCTTGCCCCGAAACCCTAATCGTCAATTTCGCCGTCGTGGGTGAGACAACCCATCTTCACCATAGATTGAAGATTCGCGTATTGGGGAGCACCGTCGCAGAGAGAGAGAGAGAGTATGTCAAAATAGCCATGGAAGGTGGACTGTAGCTCCGGGAGTGGTCAAGGCTTGTTTGAGATTTCGTTCTTTGGCACACATACCCATATTCCTTCTATGACAGAATCGCAATGGTGAGTAATTTACTAGCCAATGTCTGCAACGGCGAGCTGCCTTAGGGAATCGCTGATTAGCTCCTCGATCATGGAAGTGGTCTTCGTCATTTGTAGTTTGATTACTGGTGATGGGTCTTCGGGCTCGTTGCCGTCGTTGAACAAGAACATGGGTGGGTCTTCGGGGTTGTTGAAGAAGAAGAAGAAGAAGAAGAAGAAGAAGAACAAAGGTGGGTCTTTGTCGCCACTGCAAAAACCTCAAGTTCCACCGTCCGATGAAGATCAAATCAGTCTTAATTAATTAACAAAATTCCACAAACCCTAGGGTTCGAAATCGACGTATTGTTTGGTAAAGAAAATGCCCCTAAAGTGTTATAGGTCAGAGAATGAGGTTGATCAATTCAAGGAAGCTCGGAGAAATGATGGTAACAGTGGTCGGAATGGTATTTTCCCCAAAATATTTAATATATGTATATATATATATATGTAGTGAAAATTAGTGTTTCTAATTTGCCATGGTGGTGGAGAATGGAGAGAAATGGTGGCTGTTATGGAGCTTTGCGGTGGTAGTATGGAGGATGAAGAGACATGAGGTGGTGGGGCGTAAAGAAACCGGTGGTAATAGAAGGTAGGGGTGGTCGTGGTTGTGTGAGACTCGGATATTTTACAAGGGTGTTTCAGTCTTTATTAAATGTTTAATATTTTTACTATTAAAATGAATTAAATATTGAGGGCACTCTTGTCTTTTCAAATATTTTAAGGGCATGTTTGGACCATTGGGGTGTTTTTGTTAACTTTATCAAATCTCAGGGGCGTCATCGTTAAAAAATGGCCCAACTTATATATAGCTGTCATTATGTTAAACCTCAAGGGATGTCATTGTAATTAATCTTTTTTCTTTTTTTTTTTTTTTTTTTTTTTTTTTTTTTTTTTTTTTTTTGTGTCCAAATATAAACGTTTCTTAAATAGTGATAAAAAATTAAAACACCAATTTAGTGGTTTTATATGTTTAATGTTAAACTTGTAATATTTTTGATCAAATATAATTTTTATATTTTACTTTTAAAAATAGATGTTACCAAACATTTTTTATAATATTTGATTATAGCTTTAATAGACTAATAGTCAAAATCGAGATACTTCTGGCTAACGCTTATCCAATACTCTAGAAAAATATCTAATTTTTTAAAACAATTTTATAAATATCGAACAGCTCCAAGATATGCGAGGGATATTTTTGGATACGCATTAGGTAAATTTGTAACTTTTTGTTTTATAAAGCGGGGGAAATTTCAAAATTGGGGTCAAGTTGTAACAAAAAAAAAGAGTTTTAAAAGCGTCAAACAAGACATTCACAGTATTCATCACTGTTCTGTTCGACTTCGTTCCTGGACAGGCTGGACCGTGAAGCAAGTCTGCAACGTCTCTCTCTCACTTCTTATACTAAGTCAAATCAGTAAGAGACTAAGAGAGAAAGCTAGAAGAAAAAATGTAGAGAAATTTGCAAACACCAGCCAGGTATTTTTCATCTCTATACTTCTAGGATTAGGGTTTTCATCTTCTATCTCTTTCCCCTTAGGGTTTTTTTTATTTTTTTTCACTCGACTCTCTATTTCTCTCTACTCCATTTTGTTAGAAAAATTTTGGATGTTGTTTGTGGATTGCATGCCCTGATTGGGTTTTTTTTAATGGATTTGTTTTTTAAATCAGAATTTTAATTCTTACTTTATGTCAAATCCGATCAAACTCTTTGATAGGTCCGGTGTCAAAACCCAAATAAGATGCATAAACCAGTACAAATTTCTTTTGATTTTTGAATTGATTTGGTTAATAAATTTAATATAGCTTGCCTATTGTTAATCAATAAGATATTTTCTTTGTTGTTTGCTATTTATATTGTTTTGTTTGTTACGTACGAAGATGAGCATTTCTCTTTGGTCCATTTTGTCAGAAAAAACATAGGGAGATGAATATATATATTTTTTTGTATAATATTATATATATTTATTTATTTGACATATTGTTGCCTTGTCGTCCGTATCCTTGTCTGTGTCCATGCTTCCCAGGTTATGGTTCTTAAATTTATACAACCATAACATTGATATGCAAGCTGCTACAAAAGGATGATCAGGGTGTCAACCCAAGCCAATCAAGTGACCAGAATTAACAAAAGTTTGAGGCTGAATTAATTAGAAGCCGCTTGTAATAATGTTCTTATGCTGCTTCTAATAGGCATCAAATTAATAAGAAGAAGCTTGTAGTAAATACATCAAGGAAGCAACACATTTAATCTCGAACCAAAACTAACAAGAGTTACACAGGACTCATAATGTTATTAAGTGAAATTGAATAAAAACTATCCCTTACAACCCTAGTTATATTCTCCAAAATGGTACAAACAAAAAGGCTAAAAACCCAAAAACTTCAGTACATAGCAAATTAATCAAGAAATATCTAAAAGTTTTTGAACCAACTTAAAATGACCAAATTACAAACAGGCCAGTGGCCTAGCGGTATCAGCCTTTTACTTTTCAGTAGAGACGTGTGTGTGAGTACCAACTAGGAAAAAAAAAATGACCAAATTAGATATTTTCTAGGATTTCAGAATTAGATAGAGGGACATACATAGGAAATTTTAGAATGAAATTGACTCAATATAAACCTTGGCAACAGTATTTAAAACGTAAGAAGATAATGTCATGCTCTGATAATTGTGGGAACTTATTATAACCATTTCCAAGAAACAGCCTTCTCTAGTCCAAAAATTGCATCCATTTCCATTAAACATCAGACTATTTCAATCATTTTCAATTAAAAGATAATGATTGTGAAGTCCATCAATATGTTTTTCTTTACCAAAGATGCAAAAACTAAATTGTGGAGGATAATTGATGACTTTAAAGTAAGTCTGTACAAGACAATGTTATGCAAATGCAGTTTCAGTGAACATTATATACCAAGAAATACCAAATATTTTTAGGAGTGGGATTTCAGAAAAGAAGAGAAAATCAAATGAAATCTTATTTATGAATTTGGAATAATTTAGAATTAAGAAAAGTAAAAGAGGAGCAGGGTTGGTCAAATTGCAATATCTACTACTTATTAATTTTCTACACCATGAAATTCGGGCACACCTCATTGAACACGCAAGAAACTTCAACAACATTAGGGACATTCCTCACCATAATAAGTTGTCTCTCAGGTCACAGTAATATTTCAAGTAATTTTCGTCGTCTGAATGGTCATTGATGGGAGAAGAAGTGAGGGTGTGTGAATGTGTATAATGGTTATGTTTAAATGTCTGAGGCAATTTTAGAATACAACCATAACCTGTTATTGAAATCCCATGGCACACAATGGAAGATTGGGAACTCATGAGGAGACTTTTTATTTTTTTATTTTTATTTTTTTTATATATATATAAATATAAATAAGGGATAATTACACTAACCTCCCCTGAGGTTTCGTCATTATACACTAACCTCCCCTCTTGTTTGTCAAATAACACTAGCCTCCCCTGTGGTTTGCATACTCATAACACTAACCTCCCCTCTGTTAATGGAAAGCACTGTTACTTACGGAAAATGATGATGTCATCAATTTTTAATTCTCAAATTCCTATTATACCCTTTAAAGCTATGCAAATAAAGCAACTGAAATGTCTAAAATACCCCACAATTATTTCTCCCCCCTCAGATTCTTTCTCCAGTTTCTCTCTCTCTCTCTCTCTCTCCACTCTCTTTCCTCAGTTCGCGAGCTGACCTAGGCAAGGAACGACGTTTGGAAACGGATGCTCGGATTGACCAAGGAGCTTGGCGGCATTCTGAAATGAATGCCGACGCTGAAGCGGCAGGGATGAACCAATGGTGAAGGTGAGCAAAGGTGAGACTGAAATGTTGACAATGGACTTGCGACGATGCTCTTACCTGCAAGCATAAAGAACCAACGGCGGTGAAGATAAACATGGAACGTCGGCAGCAAGTTTGGAGGACTGCGGTGCTCTAAACGGCGGCAAGTGAGAGCTTGGTGATGAATGGCGTGCAAAAATTCTGAATAGTCGGCAAGGATAACGTCTTACCTGCGGTGAAGCTTGCAGTCCTGGTTGAATCGCACTGGCGACGACAGAAAACAGTCGACACAGCTAGAAGTCTCCATTGAAGTCGGCGGGAGTAGAGCCTCAAACCATAGCAACAAAATCGGCAAGAACAGCTCAAAGAACATTTTTCGATGATGGAAACCTCCATTAACTCCAGCACAAACCTGGACCTAGAAGTCTCCATTAAATCTCTCTCTCTTCTTTGCCGCATCTGGACACCCAATTATATTTTCCCACAATCCCACCTTCAGCGCCACCAAACCATGGACCCGTTGCCACCTTCCACCACTATGACTAGACCCTCCACCAAAAATCAGAATCTCCAAGGGTTGATAGCAAAATAGAGTAAAAAAAATAGGTCTATTCATAGTTACCTATGTTACCTACCATAGTAATGATAGAATTGCAAATTGATTTTCAATCTAACACGTATCTACATGGATTTCCGAATAATGCAAATGAATGGGAGTGAGTCTTTAATTCTACAACTGTAATGTCCATTACCACTTATAAACCATAGAACCCTTATTTTGGGTCTGCTTAGGTGAAGGATGAGAATTGGATTTGAGAGATGGGCTTTTTTGTCTTTTTAAAATTTGTTTGTAATAAAATACAAATAAATTTAATCTGGGCAATTTTGGAATTTCACTCCATCCGTTAACGCCGTTCATTCAACACCTCTAACGGGGGAGGTCATTATTATTTGGCAAATAAGAGGGGTGGTTAAAGTATAATGATGAAACCTTAGGGGAGGTCAGTGTAATTATCCCTATAAATAAAGAAAGCGAACCTATGTTTTTTCCCGATTCTACTCACGCTATTAAGCCTTCATTTTTCAAGATCTATTAAGCCTATATTATTAGGATTGACATACATAAAATTGGAAGGTGTTAAACTTTCAAAAGATTGGGAAATTTAGTATTAATAATTAAAAGTATTTGAATTGATACCTTATGCTAGCATCAAAATAAAACATCAACGACAAGAAATAATAAATTATCTGGCTAATAAACTCGACTCAAATTGAAGATCAATCAAAAAGCATGTATAAATCTGAAGAAAGGAACAAGTGATGACATAATAAAAATGCCATAGGAAATCTATTAGAAAGAAGAAGAATCAGTGGTTCAGCTGCTTGAGGACTGAGGCGGTATATCCCTTGACCCCCAAAATCACCACAACGATGATCTAACCCTAATAATAAAGTCATTGGGTCTCCTCCAAAGTTGTAATCTGAGTTTGGGTGAGAGACTAAGGCTTTGTTTGGGTTGATGGATTTGGAAAAAAAACAGAAAAGAAAGGGAGAGACTGTGACCTTTATGTTTGGTTTTCCATTAAGGAGAAAAAAAAAAAAAGGAATTTGAAGAGATTTGGAGGGATAAGCTATCCCTCTAACTCTCTCGCTTGCTATCCTTTCAAAGATGAGAAGATTTGGAGGAAAATAGAAAGTTAAAGTCATACTTTCATAATACCGAAGATTTCCTCAATATTTTAAAGAAGAAAATTTATATGACATTTGAGTCCCATCGTAACATTTTAGGGCATTGAAGTCGTTCATTCACAAGCATTTGGCGCAGCAGAGCTCTTCACAGTAAGAGCTTTCTTCTCCAGCTCCAGCGTCCTCCATTTCCGGCATTGCTCCAACACAATTCTCTCTACAAAGCACAAAAGGTTGCGTACATTTTTCTTGTTTGATTTCATTTTGTGGGCTCTGTTTTTCTTTTGATTTTTTTTTTTTTGTCTATTTCGTTGTATTTTTTGATCATTGTGGGTATGTTGCTGCGAACTAGTGATCTGACTAAGCTGATTGTGGAGTATCTTATTATAAAAATGGATCTGATTTCTCAGTTTCTGATGTTTTCATTGTATTGGGCTGTCTTTACTGGTAGAATTATTTGTGAATCCCAAATATGTATGACATGCATATTCTTTTGATCAATTCTGAAAAATATATGGCTGCACATGTTTATATGGAAGTCTATATACATCTTAGGACCAGTTTCCGTCATCTACTTATTTAGTGATGCATCTACTTGGATAATGAATACTTTCAGTTGCCAAATTCAAGATTATAATTCATTATTTAAGAATCACTGAGAAAATATTTATTAAGATTAAAATTCATTATTCAAAATTAAAATTTTCTGAAAAACAATCTATTTGTCATGGTTTTGTATATCCTATTTTTAACCCCCATCTACTAAAGCCCATGGTTTTGTATTAGTAATTCACTTCTGTTCTTCATATTCCATGAGAAAATATTAATCAAGTATTTTTCCATATTCCACAGCATATAATAATACATGTCCACATGGAAGAGGGGAATTTGAGAGAGTAGAAAATAAACTCAGCATCCAATCATCCATCACAGTACATCTGTAACAACCTTTTAAATATAGCTGAAAAGTCATCTGGTTTTGGTCTTGCTTTGGTTGGTAAAGTAGGAAGAGACCATGTCGATGATGAAGATTGACAGAAGAATTAGTAGTTGGTAATAAAGAAATCGGAGAATATTGGAGCGTTAATTATTTTAAAATATTTATGGATTGCTTTCAGATGAGCTTATGTTTCAATATTAAATATTATTAGCATAACATGATTTGTGCTCACAATTTTGTAAAGTTGCTGTTCTTTTGCATGCACATTTTTTATTCTTTAACCGTGTTTCTCCTGCTCTTTTAATCATCTCTCACTCATTTCTAATTTGTGTTATTGTATGAGAGAATTTTGCATTTTTGGTTATTAATATATATCATTTTGCATTTTAGATGGACAGGCAAAAAAATGAGGAAATACATATGATTTTAAGGTGGCAACAAAGACGACGTAATATTGCAGCTTTGGTCACTTCCATTGCTGTGTATTGGTTTATGCGCCGAAAACGAAGAAACTACATAGAGATTGAAAGACACAGAGTACGGACTTCTTCAAAAGGAAAAAGAAAAAGGGATTCTTTGGATGAAATGATTGAAGCACTGAAAATTGCTACTGCAGCTCTTGAAAAGGAAAATGATCTTCTTGAGAAGTTTTACTTATCAAAAAAAAATCTTTATGAGAAGTTTAACCAAAAGGAAAAATATGAAGAAATCTATAATGGGTTAGTGGCGATTGGAATAGAGGAGAATGCAATTGTTGGTGCTTACATTTTCCTGACCAAACATGACCATCCTGATAGAATGACAATTTCTTGATTGCCCATTTACCCATCGCAAGAGACTCTTGGAGAAATTGATGTTCGATGATTCTAAACGTTGATTATGGTTTCAGTTATATTACGCCATTTACAGATGTGAACCTTTGATAACTTTAACTTGGCAGTATTTTGGGATAGTTGGTAGAACATACATGGTCTATTATGTCTAAGTTCGGTTATGTTATGTTTCCCCTTTTGTTGTGGAGCTTTCGGGATGTAAACTTTAAGATATTTTGTTTAATGTGAAGAAGTCTTCTACTTTCTTGAATGCTAAATATTTGGTGGCAGCAAGCATTTCCAAGGCAAATAGGATGATTTATACGTTGGTTCCTTACATTACTTTTTCTGCTTGAGTACAATCAAAGGTTATTTGAAGTGGGGTTGATGCATTTGGTTTGCATGTTATGTTATAAAACAAGGAATGCAAATGGGATTGTAATGTGTTAAATTAGAGGAGGGGAAAAAAAAATTGGTTTTTGTTTATTGTTGTATGAGAATTTGCTGTACAAACTACGCCAATCAGCATCCATTATACTACTTAGCCATTTTCATTGGTTTTCATTTTTATTTTTTCAGCATTTGTTATTGGTTTGAATAATGTCAGATTGTGTACTGTTATCTACATTATGAACTTTTTAGCGATTGACAAACAATAAGACGAACATCTATAACAAGGAGAATATATTCGGTGTGTTTGGTGTATCGAGTCATCAGAAACTATCAATTTCTGCGCGTGTTGTACACGTACGGCTCTAATGTGCCCGGTGCACGATGCACCGGGCACACCAATACTTTCTCCTAGAGTGGTACTGACAACAACAATTACATGATAATGGGTATTATAATTTTGGATAGCAGATAAGGAATTTATTAGAAACAAAGTCTACTAGAGATGAAGCTGTAGCCTTGTAGGGTTGTTTCAGGCCTCTCTTCAAATAAGAATGTTATTATTTTCTTTGTTTTCGGTTTATCCAAATCTTGTCTCTTTTGACATGGAATGTTTGGATACAATGTGTACTATGGGTTTTTAAGTGAGTTGGGCTTGATGGGCCATTCAAATTAGAAACAATAAATGTGTGTTTTGCATAATGCTAGTAAGATTGAATAATGGGCTAATTGAAATAAAGAAAAACAAATTTTAGGCTGATGGGCCTAACTTTATGGGCTCTGTCACCAACATAACGCCAATCTTGTTACAGTTGGGCTTGTGTATTAAACGAGTCTGAAAAACAATTTTGAGCTACCCTTGTTTGTTAATGAAACAACTTCTTTTATGCATAAAAAATTCTAGGTTGGATTCCTCCTGTTCCTGTTTACTCCCATCAGTTTGAGAATGAGTTTCTATTTTACTCTACCTTTCGATTTTTAGGTAGACAAAGACAAAGACAAAGATAAAGGCAAAGGCAAAGGCAAAGGCAAAGACAAAGACAAAACACTCCCACACTCACTCACATTTTTTGTCCATACCCGACTCAAACTCCTTCCATTCTTTTTGAGGATAGAGAGATTATACTATTAGTCTAGATATCTTTTAATCATCAATCACATATTAAGTAATCCAAATATTAAGATTAAGTACAAAAACCTCCCTGCTATACAAAAAATGTACAAGAAACACCCCACTAGAAAAAAAAGTGTATATGACTCCTTGAATTATTAAATTTTTTAGTAAATTGTCCCCCATGGAATAGATCTATTGAAAAATAGTCTTTGGTGATGCCATATTTTTCTGAAAAATTAAAAATACCCTTTTTGGTTGACAAGAATACCCCAACTAATTGTTTTTATATGCTTAAAGAAGTGTGAACAAAATCAATCTCTCTCTCTCTCCCTCTTTCTCTCTCATCATTGTCTCTCTCTAATTTTTTTTTTCTACGTGTATGGGGTGTTTCAAGTATGTGGGTATGTTTGGTGTTAGGGTAATTTGTAAGGAATACAGGGATTACATTATATTGTTATGTTATTACTTGTAGGGTAATTTTGATACTTCACCTTTTGTCATTTTATTTATTGTTTATGATGAAGTAAGGGTAATCCAGAAATTTCACATTTTATATATTATGAACGAGTAAACAATAAATGAAGTAATTACACATTTTATATATTATGAAAGAGTTTTTTTGTACTTAACCCTAAAAACAAACTTGCAATCCAAAATACTAATCCCATAACTTAAGAACTACGGAACATGGGTAAAACAATATGATATGTTATTATAAAAAACAAATATTATTTCTTTGGTCAGGCATCAAAGTCTAGCTAGTGGCCCTCTTTTGAACGACTTAGGAGCTGTAATAATAAAAAGAAAAGAAGGAATATTCTAATGATATATAAGAAAATTTGATACCATTAGCCGCCTTCGTCAAGATGATGCATATGAGCCTATATCATTGGGAGACACAAATTGAAAGGTGTTAAAACTTTCAAAAGATTTAGTATCATTAATAATTACAAGTATTTGCATTGATACTTTATTGTAACGGGTGGGCGCTTACTCATTTATTCAAAAGTTTGAACTATTGGGTAGTGCTGCATACCTACCCATTTATACCCATGTCACTTCCCATCCGGATCCGATGTGGGACAAGTTTCCCCTTGTAACATTCTCCCCCACCCGAACTCGCAACGCCTTCATTGCGGTCGGGCCACCCTGCCTACCTGGGGTGGCTCACCCGGACGCCTTTCGAGCCGGGCGCTTGGCGTGACACCGGATCAAGGATTGAGTCTGACTCTAATACTAACTGTAACGGGTGGGCGCTTACCTATTTACCTAAAAGCTCGAACTATTGGGTAGTGCTGCATACCCACCCATTTATACCCATGTCACTTCCCATCCGGATCCGATGTGGGACAAGTTTCCCCTTGTAACATTATGCTAGCATCAGGTCAAAACACCCCTAACATAAAATAGAAAATTATGTGGCTAAAAAAATGTTAACTTAAATTCAATATCAATTTAAAAAACACGTAAATATCTGAAGAAAGGAGCAATCACATAATAAAAATGCTACTAAAAAATTATTAAAAATAAGAAGAATACGAGGACTTAGCTACCTGAGGACTACGGTGGCATATCCAAAATCACCAAAACGATACTGCAATCCTACTAAACTAAAAAATGTAAGAATTAACCAAAAAAAACAAGGAATACAATGGGAAAAAAATAATTTGTAGGACGCGTTCTACAATTTAATCATGTAAAAACCTATGGGAAAAAAATGCAAGATGGATTTTGGATAAGAAAATGTAATCAAATGAAATCTATATTATGAATTCGGAATAATTTGGACTTTAGAAAATTAAAATAGGGGCAGAGTTGGGCATACTGCAAAGTCTACTACTTAACAGTAATTTTCAAATAACATGGAAATTCAGGCCTACCTCATTGAACACGCAAGAAAGGTCAGGAACATTTCTCACAATGATAAGTTGACTGTCACACATCTCTGGTCACACTAACATTCCTCACAATAATAAGCGATCTCTTGTGCATCTTTGGAATTGTTGTCTTCTGAATGGTCTTTGATGGGAGGATGAGTGAAAATAATGGCTATGTTTAAATGTAACATTCCTCACAATAACAAGCGGGCTCACGCAGATCTCTGAAATTATCGTTGTTTGAATGGTCTTTGAATGGAGAATAAGTGAGGATGAGTGAAAATGATGGCTGTATTTAAATGTATGTGGTAATTTCGGAACACATCACAATCTGATGTTGAAATCGCATGGCACACAACGGAAACCCAGGGACTCCCATCAGCTGCACAAGGCTGTAGGAAAAGAGAAACATCAGTCCCCTCGGGCCTGGGAACGGTGACACAATTGTGAAACATCTGCACAGGAGGATCCAACGAAATCCGAAAACCGCCCACCTATCGCCAGCACCATAGAAAACTCTTTCTCTAAATAATCTGAACAAGTAACATATATAAAAATAAATAATAAAAATAACTAAACAAACTAACTCATGAGACTTCCCAATTACTCTTTTCTCTCTCTAGAAACCTCCACCGACCCCTCTTTCAGCCGCCGCCGCCTCCCACTTCGTCTTCTCTCTTTTCTCCCTGCTTCCTTCCATGGGAGTGGGGAAGTGATGTTTTTAGCCTCCCACGGGCTAAATAAAATCGGTGTGTAATAGTATGTACGCTCTGTGGGTGGTTTTCACGCCATTTTTGCTTTTGTTTTGCTAAATCTGCTTTGGTTTGGCTTGTTTCTTGCCGGACTGGGTGGATCTGGGTTTTCTTTCTCCGACTAGATATCAGATCTATGTCAGTTTTTTGTTGTTCCCGACTAGATATCAGATCTATGTCGGTTTTTGTGTTCCTCGACTTGTGCGCGGTTTGGGTGGTTTTTCCACTAATCGAAGGGGCCTTGTAGATGGACCTTTGGACCAGTTGTCTTGCTGATGGCCTGACCTTTGTGTCACTCCCGTTGATGCTCGTCTCATGTGGTGGCTTCCTTTGTTCTTCTCAGCAAATCTGGAGCCTAGTCTTCATTTTTCTTCCTTTTGCTTCAGGTTTTATTTGCCTTTTTATGGCTTGCCTTTATTGCATTTGTACTGTCCTTTATGGATGTGTTGTGTAGATGCCATATGGCTATTCTCTGATTGCCAGGAAAAAAAAAAAGAAGACTTCCCAATTTTTTTTGGGTGCTATTGGAGCTATTTTGAAACCAAAGAACAAGGCTAAAGGTTTGTGCTTCCAGTTGTGAAAGAAAATGCATAAATCCACTTGTAAAAGAGGCGTATGATCATATATATTGAAACATGATATTCCTTAGAAAAGGTGGCACCTACTATAGAGTAGTGTTGAAATTATTGTAGATCCTAAGAACTCTAATGTGAATAATCGGTGCTCAAGAAGCATTATATACCAATCACTGTGAACTAAATTATTTGTAAACATGGACTAATCATAACCAGTGTTTGTTTAAAGGATTTTTAGAAGTAAACATTGCTTTATGTTTCTTTAAGTAATCAGGTCCACTTGATATTTTCTCCTTCTTTGGAAGAATTTCCCTCCTTAACACTTGATCTTTTCTCTCTTTGGAAGAATTTCCCTCCTTAACACTTAATTGCAGAAGACAACTTTTAAACTCATTTAGTTCTCTTCCAAGGAGCATCTTTTGTCAATTATTCTATAGAAAGAAAGAAACTCGCTGTTAATGTTTTTGGAAGCTTGCGTGGACCCAATTAACTGTTAGGATTTGTGTGCCCTGGCATAGCGAATTCCTATTTGAATTAAAGTGACATATGTTCCTAACATATATGAAATAT